AAATTCGCGATTCGCCATAATTGCAGTATATGCTGATGACTTAAACATTATTGGAACTCCCGATGAAATTGAAAATACTGCAAAATATCTTATGAAAGAATTTGAAATGAAAGATCACGGGAGAACCAAATTTTGTCTCGGACTTCAAATTGAGCATTTGAAGAATGAAATTTTTATACATCAATCCAATTACACCGAGAAAGTCCTGAAGAGATTCTATATGGACAAAGCTCATCCATTGACTTCACCAATGGTGGTTCGATCTCTAAACATACACGATGATCCATTCCGTTCACCAGAAGACGACGACGATATACTCGGTCTCGAAGTACCATATCTGAGTGCTATAGGAGCTTTAATGTATTTAGCTAATAATACTAGACCAGATATTGCATTTTCTGTAAATTTATTAGCTAGGTACAGCTCATGTCCAACAAGACGTCATTGAATCGAGATCAAGCACATATTCCGTTATCTCCGTGGTACAATTGATCTCGGCCTATTCTATCACAAAGATGCAAAAGCTTCTTTAATCGGATATGCAGGCGTTGGATACTTATCAGATCCTCAAAAGGCGAAATCACAAACCGGGTACATATTTACTTATGGTAACACCGCAATCTCATGGAGATCTATGAAGCAGACTTTGATAGCTACATCATCAAATCATTCGGAGTTAATTACACTTTATGAAACCGGGAGAGAATGGACGTGTCTGCAATCTATGATTCAACACATCCAAAATGAATGTGGTATGAAGCCTAGGGACAAATGCTTCACCATAGATGTAGACATTGTAATTGACAATATTATAAAAAATTATATAAAATTGTGGAAAGAATGAGATAGAAATCTCAATGATTTGTTTTTATTTATCTTTCTCTCATACCACATGTGCACCATACACATTGTATCATTAATGGAGATGCTTTTTAAAGGCAATTATATGGGAGATGTTCTAAATGACATAAGGCACCGTCCAAGCCCTAAATCTTTGAAGTCTATGCGGGCTCCGCCGAGACTTTACCATGAAAAGACGCTTTGACTTTTTAGCCTTTATTTTAATTATATTAATGCTATTTTAATTTGATATTAACTAATATTATTCAAAAACATCATTCTTTTCTCGTTTTCAACCACAAAAAACAGTTGGCGAGTCCTAAATTTAACATATATGGAGTATGAATTTACTAATTACACAAAATCTAGACTGAAAAAAGTAATTTAATCATAAAATGTCAATATTAATAAAAAGAAATAAAACATATACTATGGGATATATGATTTAAATAAGGATAATGATCGAATAAAAATTTGACTTATTAATGGTTAATGACTACGATTACACATTCAAAATCTTCTAATAGATAGTAGCAAAATAGATTTCATAGTTTTTTACCGCCCCAAAACATCAACATAACGCACAAACACAAATCCAACACTATGAGTATGCAATATATTTACTAATTTACGAGTACAATGTAACATACAAAAACACTTGATCACACCAACTTGTAACCCGTCTGATCAGCATTTAATTGTTTATCCATGTACCGCTCCAAATCAATTCCAAAAGCTTCCCCTCAATAAAACCAATCCCCACTAAATTGAAGGTTATAATATTTATTTTTTATTTTCATCAATATAAAATATTCACATATGGAAAATTTTAAATGAATAAATCCGTGATTTTGGATTTATGGTAAAAATTATGTGTAATCCCATAAACAACGTTTTTTTATATGCTTGCTCGAAAATACTTCATTAGCTAAGTCAAGTAGGATTTTAAATTTGAGTCTTTTAGGATGTTAGCTTAAGGCGGTTTGCATTTAATTTTAGTATTTAATAATTGTATATTTTGTATTGTAACAATACAAAAACACGGGGCCACAAGGAGGAGGTTTTCCATTTTGCTTTTAAACTATTTTATCTGCTATTCACTTAATGCATTCGTTTAATTGATTATTTCATGTTTCTATTTTTTTTTTATAAAATACGGGAAAATATAAGTTTTATTCCTTTTTTGTGAAGTACGGGGGCATGTGATAAGTCCATATTTAGACACGCATTTGATGTGTGTTGGGATTGGATTTTGATGGTTTTCCCAGTTTTAAGGTGTTACAAGTCTCAATTTTAGCTCAAGTTATGTTTACCGGGCGTTGGTTCGAGTTTTGTGTTGTTTGTAGTCAAAATCAGGGAATTTGAGCCCGGCACCGGCACTTGAGGAACAATCAGGATAATTTGAGAAGTATTTGAAAATGATTTGATAGCTTTGGAGGTCACCGGAAGATTCACGATGAAGATTTGAAGGAAAAAGAGCTCTAGGATTGGCTACGGAGTCAAAAGAAGATGAATGAAGCTTGAAAACGACAATCAGGATGACCTTCTGTCAATCGTCCAAGCATATCTCCTTGTAGAAACATCCAATGTACACGATTCAAGTTCCATAGGAAAGCCAACTTCAAGGGCTACAAATCATATGAAGACACCTTTGCGAGAATCTGAGAGGAAGAAGGTGAAAACAGACAATGAAGTCAGATGACCTTTGCTGCGATTTCAGAAGGACACCTTCCACCGTTTTGATCATATCTCTTGATTGGATGATTCAAATCACATTCGGCAAATTGGGGTGGATAGAGGACTTCATTATCTACAACTTTAGTGAAGAAAGCATTTCCAAATTCGGAAGTTAAGTAGGCACGATCGTGCCCTCAAAGTCAGACACGATCATGCGTGAAGAGAAAACACGGATGAGTTACTGCCAGCCAGGCACGATCGTGCCTGCCCATAATGCGCGTTTTTGCTCCGGAGGCACGATCGAAGGCACGATCGTGCCTGGCATCGTGTCTAGCTCCGAAAATCCTAATTCAGCTCAAATTTCACCCGATTTTTCTATTTAAACAGTCTGTAAACCCCCGTTTTCAAGGGGGAGCTTAGAGAGAGTGCCTAGCACGAATTTTAGAGGGTTTTTCAGCCTTGTTCATTAATCTTTTGGTATTCTTTGTAAGTTCCACCTTTTTAATTAATGACAATTAATTCTTTTTATTCCAATTCTATTGATTCTTCAATTATGAATTGTGAGTAGTTTTAATTAGGGATTTGAGATTGATGAAGGGGTTAATCATGATGTATGGCTAGATTCTTTTTGGTTTAATTGCATGAATGCCGTTTAATTTGTGTTTGAATAATTTAATTGATATCTTTTGTAAACTAGAATCGCGACTAGAATTACAATTGCATGTAGAATAAATTAAGAGAGATCTAATTTGTTCTAGGACACATTCACACACACTTAATCGTTCGCTAAGAGATTAGTAGCGATTAAGGGGCCGTAAGCTCGCTCGTCTTGGCAATAATTTAGGATCCTGTCGCATGAGAGATCGGCCTGGTCCCCTAAATTATTGTACTTTACGCCGCGAGAGCGGTAAGAACCTAGTAATGATTAGCTAGGCTCAATTAAATTAATTTCATGTAATTAGGCCCGATCTGCCAGAAATCTTGTTACCCCGGAATCGATCCATGTTCCCTTCGTCATTAATTAGAAAGAACCCCCTAGTTTAAGTGTTCGCATTAGTTTTATTTTCCAAACCAACCAATCTCGCACGACGCTTTTATTTTATTTTCTTTTTAATCGCTGAATTTAATTAATTCTTGATTCCCTTTTGTCCGTCCCTGTGGAGACGATACTCGTACTTACACCACTATATTACGATCTATTTTAAGTGCGAGAAAACACACATCAGCATGCAAAAGTTTTTATCATTTTTAAAGAACTTAATTTCCATTTTAAACGTACTTTATTTATTCAAAAAGGCGATGCACGTTTAAAACACAAGGGAAGGTTTTCCTTTTTCCTTTTAAACTATTTTCATCTCCAATCCATTTAATGCATTCATTCAATTGATCATTGCATGTTTCTTTTTTTGTAAAATACGGGAAATATATGTTTTATTCCCTTTTTTGTGAAGTACAGGCCGGGAGCTACATCTTATCCTTTTTAAACGGAACGGGCCGAACGGCCTTAATTTTCATTTTAGACATATTTATATATAAAAAACGAAAATGTTTACAACTAAACATAAAAAAGCTAACTAGGAAGGATATATTGATCACTTTATGAGATTTTATTTTATAATAATACATAATCTATATTCTAGAGACTTGGAATTGAAAACAGTAATTACAACGAATTTTAGTCCTTTTATTTTCAAAAAAGTAAAAAAATGTTAACTTCATATAGATTTATTTATTAATAAGAAAATCATATTTTATTTATGATGTAAATATAAAAAATAATAAAAATATTTATAAATCAATACCAAAAACAGAAAAGCAAAATACAATAAACATAAAAAAATATATTTAAGAGTTAAATAAATGTAAAAAAGTATGTAGACCAAAAAGAAAAGATATCATTGAATGATTATTTTCTTCACGCATGACTTATAATTATAAAGGAATTCAAGATCTGAATTACTTTACAATTAGAGCCCGTTTGGTACCACGAAAATCGGCTGTTTTGGCTGATTCTGCTGAAATTTATGAAGTTCTGGCTGAAGTGGCTGTTTTGGCTGTTTCTGCTGTTTTAAGTAAAAATTATTTTTAAAATATATTTTATTAATAAAATAAATAAAAAATTATATGTAAAAATAGTTAAAATGGTCATCTACAGTAACTTCAGCCAGAAAAGTAACTCCAACCTTACTTTTTCTGCTTATTACACAATTTAGTGCGCGAAAGTAAAAGTTACGTGTTTGGTAAAAAGTTGGCTGATAAGCCTGATAAGGCGAAAAATGATGTTACCAAACGGCCTCTTAATGTCATGCATGAAGAAAATAATCTCTCTAATAACTCTTTGTATCAAACGTTATTGGATTTGTGAAGTACATTTATAAACGATTTGATAGTATCAAATTTAATCGGTGTGGGATTTAGTATATAGATTCGCATATCTTGCTATCGCTAACCCATGCGGCCATGCGGGTATTTAATTATATACTCCGTGTTGAAATATAATTGAATTAGTCATCTTCCAACTATTCCTGATTAGGAATTATTATCACCATTACATAAATAATCAGGAAATCATAATTATGATTCTAGATGATAATTGTGTGGTTCACAATTATCCTCTAATCCTATGAAGCTTAACTTTTCTCCTATAAATAGGAGGCTTCTCCATTGTAATTAACACACCATGGTTACACCATTATCACACTCTCAATAATATAATCTATCACTAAGTGTTCATACTATATTTCTCTCCCTGATCTTCTGATTATTTCCTTCCATATTATAACACGTTATCAGCACGAATTTGCTCCACATCCTTGAAATCATCATCTTCCTAGCAGATATGGAGTTAACTAAAATTTCTTCAAGTGGCTCTGAACAATGTCTAATAGACAGTGCCACAACGCACACCATTTTGAGACATAGAGATTATTTTTCTCATATGACATTAGTTGATGCTAATGTCAATACAATCTCAGGTGTTGCTAAACTCATTGAAGGTTCTGGAATAGCCTGTGTGATTCTCCCAAAAGGGACAAAATTAATAATTAAAGACGCTTTATACTCCAGTAAATCACGGAGAAATCTTTTGAGCTTTAAAGATTTGCGTCTAAATGGTTTTCATATTGAAACCATGTCTAAAAATCAGAAGGAATATTTATGTCTAACGACAAATAGATCTGGCAATAAATACATTTCTGAAAAAATGCCAGCATATTCCTCGGGATTGTATTATACATATATCAGTCCAATTGAGATAAATGTGGTATCTAAAATTTATGACCACAATTCTTTTATCTTGTGGCATGACCGTTTAGGTCATCCAGGCAGCACTATGATGCACAAAATTATTGAAAATTCACTTGGACATTCATTAACTAATGTCAAGATTCCACAATCAAGTGATTTTCCATGCACTGCCTGTTCTCTTGGCAAATTAATTATCAGGCCATCTTTATACAAAATTGGAGTTGAATCTCCTGCATTTTTAGAAAGAATTCAAGGAGATATTTGTGGGCCAATTACCCCTCCGTGTGGACCGTTTCGATATTTTATGGTGCTCATTGATGCATCAACACGTTGGTCACATGTCAGTCTTTTATCGACTAGAAATTTTGCATTTGCAAATCTCCTTGCTCAAATTATTCGTTTGAGATCACAATTTCCGGATTATTCGATAAAGAAAATCCGACTTGATAATGCAGGAGAATTTACATCCCAATCTTTTAATGACTATTGCATGTCAATTGGGATTGATGTGGAACATCCAGTTCCACATGTACATACACAAAATGGTCTTGCCGAATCCTTAATTAAGCGATTACAATTAATTGCTAGACCATTATTGATGAAATCCAGATTACCATCATCTGCATGGGGATATGCTATAATGCATGCTGCAAATTTAATTCGGCTTAGGCCAACGGCATATCATAAATTTTCCCCATTACAATTAATATCTGGTAAAGAACCAAATATATCACACCTAAAAATATTTGGTTGTTCTGTGTATGTACCAATTGCTCCACCTTATCGTACTAAAATGGGTCCTCAAAGAAGGCTGGGAATTTATGTTGGTTTTAAATCACCCTCAATTATTAATTATCTAGAACCTATGACCGGTGACTTATTCACCGCGCGGTTCGATGACTGTCATTTTGATGAGACAGTATTCCCAGCCTTAGGGGGAGATATTAAAGAAATGGACCCACGTACGAAAGATATTACTTGGAATGCAACAAATTTATCTTTTCTTGATTCTCGCACGAATGCTTGTGAACAAGAAATTCAAAAGATTATTCATTTACAAAATGTTGCAAACCAATTGCCTGATGCTTTCACAGACTCAAAGAAAGTGACAAAGTCACATGTTCCAGCTATGAATGCTCCTTCTCGAATAGAAATTCCTGCGGAGATTAGCGAAAGAACACTTGCTAATGAATCTATGATACGTAAAAAACGTGGTAGACCACTTGGTTCAAGAGATTTGAAACCAAGAAAATTTAAACAGCAAGTTGTAGTTTGTGATGCCAAAGAAGTTCAACCTTCTCAAGAAGAAAATGAACATTTTGAAAATATCGGCCTTGAAGATAACATCAATAATAATGATACCTCAAAAGAGGATCCAATCACCTTCGAAGAGGTAAATATTCCAGATAAAGATAGAAACGTCGATAATTTTGAAATTTCAATCAATTACGTTTCTAATGGAATACAATGGAATAGAAATGATATTGATGTTAATGATATATTTTCATATGCCATCGCCACAGATATAATGAATGAACACGATGACAATGAGCCTAAATCTATTGACGAATGTCGTCGTAGAAATGATTGGCCAGAATGGAATGAAGCAATTCAGGTAGAATTAAAATCGCTAGAAAAGCGTAATGTTTTTGGACCAATTGTCCATACGCCAAAAGGCGTAAAACCTGTCGGTTTTAAATGGGTTTTTGTGCGTAAACGTAACGAGAAAAATGAAATCGTTAGATACAAAGCCCGACTTGTTGCCCAAGGTTTTTCTCAAATGCCAGGAATCGATTATGATGAGACGTATTCTCCAGTAGTTGATGCTACAGCTTTAAGATTTTTAATTGGCATGTCTGTTTTTGAAAGGCTGCAAATGCGCCTCATGGATGTGGTGACCGCATATTTATACGGTTCACTCGATACAGACATATATATGAGAATTCCTGGAGGCTTTAAAATACCTGATGCTTATAGCTCGAAATCTCGAGATTTATTTTCCATAAAATTGCAAAAGTCATTATATGGATTAAAAAAATCTGGACGCATGTGGTATAACCGTCTCAAAGAATATTTGATTAAAGAAGGGTATAAAAATGATCCTATTAGTCCATGTGTTTTCATTCAGCGATCCGAATCAGGATTTGCCATAATTGCAGTATATGTTGATGATTTGAATATAATCGGAACTCCTAATGAAATTGAAAATACTGCAAAATATCTCATGAAAGAATTTGAAATGAAAGACCTTGGGAGAACAAAATTTTGTCTCGGCATTCAAATTGAACATTTGAGAAATGGTATTTTCATCCACCAATCAAATTATACCGAGAAACTTTTGAAGCGATTTTACATGGATAAAGCACATCCGCTCAATTCTCCAATGGTGGTTCGATCTCTCAATGTGCATGATGATCCTTTCCGACCTTGTGAAGATGATGAAGAAATCCTTGGTCCCGAAATACCATATTTGAGTGCTATTGGAGCATTAATGTATTTGGCTAATAATACTCGACCAGATATTGCTTTTTCTGTAAATTTATTAGCCAGGTACAGTTCTTCCCCAACAAGAAGGCATTGGAATGGTGTCAAACATATATTCCGATATCTCAATGGTACAATCGATCTTGGATTGTATTTCAAGAATGGTGCAAATGCCACTTTAATTGGCTACGCGGATGCAGGATACTTGTCTGATCCACAAAAGGCAAAATCACAAACAGGATATTTATTCACCTATGGTGATACCGCTATATCATGGAGATCAATGAAGCAAACATTAACTGCAACATCATCAAATCATGCAGAATTAATTGCTCTTTATGAAGCAGGTCGTGAGTGTGTCTGGTTGAGATCAATGATCCAGCACATACAAAATGAATGCGGTATAAAATCTTTTACTTCTAATCCTACTGTGATTTATGAAGATAATACAACATGTATAGCTCAGATCAAAGGAGGTTACATCAAAGGGGACAGAACAAAGCATATAGCACCAAAACTTTTCTCCACACATGATCTTGAGAATGACGGAACGGTTGATGTCAAACAAATCAAGTCATGCGACAACCCTGCTGATTTGTTCACAAAGTCATTGGCACCAAAGAAATTTGAAGAACTGGTCCATAAAATTGGAATGTATCGTCTTCGAGATATATGTTAAATTGAGGGGGAGTAATATAATGCACTGCACTCTTTTTCCCTTCGTCAGGTTTTTATCCCACTGGATTTTTCTTGACAAAGGTTTTTAACGAGACAGTACATTATAATACTATGAATCTAATACCCCAGAATAATTAGAAGATGACCATTCAAGGGGGAGTGTTGAAATATAATTGAATTAGTCATCTTCCAACTATTCCTGATTAGGAATTATTATCACCATTACATAAATAATCAGGAAATCATAATTATGATTCTAGATGATAATTGTGTGGTTCATAATTATCCTCTAATCCTATGAAGCTTAACTTTTCTCCTATAAATAGGAGGCTTCTCCATTGTAATTAACACGCCATGGTTACACCATTATCACACTCTCAATAATATAATCTATCACTAAGTGTTCATACTATATTTCTCTCCCTGATCTTCTGATTATTTCCTTCCATATTATAACACTCCGTATAATGTATCTCCAACCTTTTTTATTTTTATTTAAAATATCAAACCCACCAATTTTATCATGAGCATTCCCATTAACTTAACGATTGTTTAAATAGAAATTAATAGACTAATATATTTAGGAATCTGCCTAATATCTATTTAGGAATCTGCCTAATATCTATTTAGGAATATTTTGTATTTTGGCAACTCTTCTATTATAAATATATCTGTCAGGACTCCTATTGGAGTACCTCTTTCTCATTATTTCACATAAATTACTTATTAACTATTAAATGCCATGACTTAATCTAACAGACTTAGAAAGACTACTAATCACCTTCATATTTCTTCAAAATTACACCGCATGTGAAATCGCACCCTAACAAAAAATGTACTACCACCACCTTCCCACTATGTTTGGGACAAAGGAGTGTGATACAACTTTTAACAAAAAGTGAAATTGTAAATCTAAATTGAATTGATAAAATGTGAATAAAGTAAGAATGAATCGTAACCATCCAAATATTATCAAATATGATATGAGACAAACTTAATGAGACGGACGAAAAGGGTAAAAAGAGACAAAGTTAGGGGGACGGAGGGCGAGTATCTAAACTACAGAGTAATAATTTAGAAGGTAAAAGTTCGATATAAAAAATCATATTATAAAATAAAGTTACTATCCTCCGTTCCATAATTCTTGCAAAAGTTTGATTTTCACGTTTGTCAATGCACAACTTTGACTGTAATTATATTTAATTATGTATTAGTAAACATTATAAAAAGTTGATATTTTGGAAATTCACAATGATAAGAGTTCAATAACATTTTATACGTAATAATTTGATTATGTATATTAGTAGAAAATCATGGTCAAAGTAAGATCTGTGAATAGTGTAAAAATCACAATGTTGCAAGAATTATGGAACGGAGGAAGTATATTCAAGGATAAATAACAAACTTGAATCACACTTCATTTTTTAACAGAATAATGTTATATTTCAAACAAGTACCAACAAACTATGTGATACAACGGGTAGTGTCGATTTGATCTCATTTCGAAATTGTAATCTTGACCATTTTATAGTATGAAAAATAACGAGAATTCCAATCCAAAACCAGAAATGGTTCAAAGACGATTCGTTTCTAATCCAAAATATGTCTTTCTTTCAGAAAGCCAAATGTTGTTATTTAGAACTGTTCAGTGGGTTCAAAACTTTACTTGTAATTCATAGATGTATGTATATTGCTTGAAATTGACATTGTATAATCTTCTGCGGATTAAAAGTAATCATTTGAACGAACTCGACCCATCCATGTGGTAATGCCCCCGCTTAACAAAATTTCTATGTGTGTCGATGAGATCATAGTTTGGATGAATCAAATGGATTGTAGACACCAGCTTCAGTTATTTATGGAGTATACTAGAATTAACTTAAAAGTAAATTTCAAAATGTGAACTACTTATATTTTAACATGGGAGGCTTTGCAAGAGATTAAAAAAAGTGTTTTTCAACTCCTAACTTAAAAGAAAGTTGAAATGAGTGTTTTCCGGTGAGAGTTTCTACTTGAAATAAACATTCAATAGCTAAAATTTGGAAGCAAGTTGAGAGATGGGGAGGGAGGGCGAGTAATAATAATTAGATGAAAGACAAAGTCCAACTCGCAAATCTTGATTTCAAAGTGCCCTCGTGCAAATTAGATGAAATTCTGGCAACGGATTCTTGAACTGACTGAAGCCTGCAACAAAGATAGAAGTAGACACTCTACCAAAAGAAACACATATGCTCATATAAAAGTTCGATATAAAAAAATCATATTATAAAATAAAGTATATTCAAGGATAATTAACAAACTTGAATCGCACTTCATTTTTTAACAGAATAATGTTATATTTCAAACAGGGGCGGCTATGGGGGAGTTACCCTAGGCAAGGTCCCTAGGGCCTCCACCTCTAAAGGGGCCTCATTTTTATTAGTGTTTTTATAAAAATAATAATATTAATAAATAAATAAATAAAATAAATAAATAAATAAATAGTAATGACATAAAATTGTATTTAAACTAATTGTATTTAAACTAAGTGATTTATAATGCTAAAATTTTTATAGACATACATGTGAAAAGTTCTACTGATTAATTTATGATTAATTTATGTTCTTACGTAGTATATTATTAAATTTATCTTAAGTTATGCTAAAAAATTTAGAGATTTTACTTTTATATTTTTCTTAAATAATACTGCTTTCTTTTCGTTTTTATTCAGCCAAATTTGATTTTGCAAGTCAATGATGTTAAACTTTGACCAATTATATAATTTTTGGTTGTATTGATAATACGAAAATGATATGAAGATGTCTTTTATTAAAAATACTATCATAAAAGTATAGATTTATTAGGTTATATGAAATTTATTTGTACATTTTACACTTTATGAAATTAATTTTAACATTGAAACATTTGTTTTGAAAGTAATTTTTTTTTGAATTGATAGAATATATAATAACATTTATACAATTATTTTGTTTATTGTTTTTATTTATAGAATTTTCGCAATGCTCTTTTGCCTAGTCGTCTAGGGCCTCGAATTTTCTGAGGCCGCCTCTGATTTCAAACAAGTACCAACAAACTATGTGGTACAACGGGTAGCGTTCGATTTGATCTCATTTCAAAATTGTAATCTTGACCATTATATAGTATGAAAAATAACGAGAATTCCAATTCAAAACCAGAAATGGTGCAAAGACGATTCGTTTCTAATCCAAATATGTCTTTCTTTCAGAAGGTCAAATGTTATTATTTAGAAATGTTCAGTGGGTTCAAAACTTTACTTGTAATTCATAGATGTATGTATATTGCTTGAAATTGACATTGTATAATCTTTTGCAGATTAAAAGTAATCATTTGAACGAACTCGACCCATCCATGCGGTAATGCCCCGCTTAACAAAATTTGGATGAATCAAATGGATTGTAGCTAGACACCAGCCTCAGTTATTTATGGAGTATTCAAGAATTAACTTAAAAGTAAATTTCAAAATGTGAACTACTTATATTTTAACATTGGGAGCATTTGCATGAGATTTTAAAAAAGTGTTTTTCAACTCCTAAATTAAAAGAAAGTTGAAATGAGTGTTTTCAGGTGAGAGTTTCTACTTAAAATAAACATTTAAAGGGCATGTTTGGCACAACTAGCTGAAAAGATACTTTTGTGAGCTTTTTAATAGCGGTTAGCTTTTAGTGACTGAAAAGATCTTAAAAAGAAAAGGTGGTAACTGTTTGATAAAAAGCTGACTGTTTGATTTAGTTCGGTTTGGTATACAAGCTGTTAGGATTAATTAATACTAAAAGTCACTAGCTTTTCTTAGATGCTACTCTCGGTAGCATCTCAAAAAAGATCTTTTAATTTTTGAAAAGCTCTTAAATATTGTCATGCCAAACACACAACTAGAAACTTTTAGAAACTTTTTGAACAATACAAAAGCTAGAAGTCAGGGACTTGTGCCCGCCAAACATAGCCAAAAGCTAAAAGTTGGAAGCAAGTTGAATTGAGAGGTGTTTTAAAATGTTTTTCACTTTTTCTAATTTTTATTACACAAAAATTACTTATTTTATCAAACATTACCAACTTTTACTTTTCATAAGCACTTTTTTCTCAAACGCTATTAAATTTTATGACGAGATAAAGGTCAGATTGGTACTCGAAGTTGCAAAAAAAAGGGTCAAATAAGTCCTTATATAGAAGACTCTGTCCAACCATCACTATTTGAGGCGGTTCCCGATGAAAGTTTTTGACGAAATGTTTTGAGCATCTTATTCATTAAGTTTAGTTTACTCATACCAAATTTCAGCTAAAACTTCAAACGAGAAGGCATTCACATGAATTCTTGAAGACAACTGCGCTTTTAACTGCACAATTATCTTCAAGAATTCATTTGAATGCCTTCCCGGTTGAATTTTTAGCTAAAATTTGGTATGAGTAAACTAGACTTAACGAATAAGATGCTCAAAAAAATTCATCAAAAAGATCCAACGGGAACCATCCCAAATGGCGACGTCCGGACAATAAAGACTTATTTGACCCTTTTTATGCAACTTCGAGTACCAATCTGACCCTTACCTCGTTTTATTATTAAGCATTTTCTCTAAACTCCCTGGAAATCATAATACCAAAACTCCGTATTTGGTATTATTCCGTTTGTGGTAACTCACAAAACATTCCAAGGTTCGAATTTTGAGAGTAAATAAATGAGTTTATTTATAGGCCGGGATAACAATTGTGATCAATCCGATAGATACCCGCACCAAATTGCACTGGTTGAAATCGGGAAAACCGCATTGACCAGGTAATGGCTACGAAACGGGTGTTAAGACCCGAGGTTCCATCCTAAAAGGTCAACCTGATAAGTGGAGTAGGCCATGTCTTAATATAACACTTTGGTCATCCAAACTTTTTCGGTGTGAGACATCTAACACCCCTCCTCACGACTAGACATTCCTCTTGGGTCGTGTCATCATTCATTTATTTTTTCGTCGGTCCATTTTTTTATCCGGCCGTAATTGTCATTTTTTTAATAATCATGTTGTCATTCTTCATAAGGGGCCCCACACCATGGATCGATTTGGCTCTGATACCATGTTAAGACCCGTGGTTCCATCCTAAAAGGTCAACCTGATAGGAGGAGTAGCTCATATCTTAATATAGCACTTTGGTCATCCAAACTTTTCCGGTGTGGGACATTTTACAACGGGGAATACCCGTTTCATTTTTACGGGTAACGGAGCAATTACGGTATTATACATGCCCACCTCATTACCTGCCCCATTTTTTTGTTATATTTTTATTATAGTTTTTTTATCTATTAGATAGTATTTATCCCACAACTACTAAAAGATGAGATTTTTCTCTTATCATTGTGTATATATATGGATATGAATAATAGATGTACTAACTATATTGTATGAATGA